CCTAAAAAAAAAGCATTTGACACAATCAATCATGAATTATTAATGGACAAGTTAGAAAAATATGGGATCAGAGGATTGGTTTTGAATTGGATTAGAAAATGGAGTGTATTTTATATAGCACTTTCTCACAGTGTGTTGCACTGGCCAAAGCGCTTTACAGAAGATCATACACCATTCACCCACAACATTCACACACCGATGACGACAGGCTGCCATGCACTGGCGCTAGTCAAGACACCGGGAGCAATTCGGGGTTCAGTGTCTTGCTCAGGGACACTTAGGCATGCAGGGAGACCGGGAGTCGAACCACCAACTTGCTGGTCAGGAGACGACTGCCATACCTCATGAGCCACAGCCACCCCGTCTTCATGTCAGCCCTGTGACAGACTGGTGACCTGTCCAGGGTGGACCCCACCCCTCCCCCAGTGTCAGCTGAGATTGGCTCCAGCCCCCCACAACCCTGTTCAGGAATAAGCAGTATAGATAATGGTTGGATGGATTATAACTACATACAGTATGTGCTATAACAGTTTTGCTGTCACAAAACCTAAATTATGGGTACAACCCTAGGCTTCACATATTTTTACTTCTGGTATACTATATAAACACTGTTGAAGCAGATAAAACACTTATTAGTGATTTTGTTGAAATCTCTTGTTGACTATTATTTAAGAAGAATGAACACCCCAAAGACCAAACCAGGGGGAGGAGAAGACCAGAGGCAGATGGGACAGAACCACGACAAGACCCCCTCTCCTACATGGATGAGCCGCGACCACCCCCAGACTGGTCCGGATGGGCCTGATGGAAGTCTTGGATGAGGGCAGGGTCCACAATATGGCGGGACGGAACCCAGGACTGCTCCTCCGGCCAGTAACCCTCACCGGGTACTGGATACCCTGGCCATGTCTCCGGGACCTCAGGAGACGATGAACGGTGTAGACAGGACCCCCATTGATGATGCAAGGAGGAGGAGGAGGAGCCACACATGAAAGGTGGGGTGAACCCAAAGAGAGCGGGGCAGACGGAGGCAGACAGTGGCAGGGCCGATGATCTTGGTTATGGGGAAGGGTCCAACGAACCGTGGAGTCAGCTTACAACATTCAGTCCTCAGAGGTAGGTCACGGGCAGACAGCCAGATCCTCTGGCTGGGGTGGTAGGTGGGAGCCCAGGGACAATGGACATTAGCCCACTTCGTGTATGCTTGGACAGAGCGGAGCAGGACCAGGTGTGCACTCCTCCAGGCTCGGTGAAATCGACAAACCAGGGCAGAAGCAGAGGACACTCGAACCTCAGGATCAAGACTGGGGAACAAGGGTGGAGAATAGCCATAAACACATTCAAAAGGAGACATACCAGTGGCTGCAGAGGGAAGGGAGTTGTGGGAATACTTCACCCAGGTCACATTATCCGCCCATAGGGAAGGGTCCTGGTGACACAAGACGCAGGCTGCTGATTGAGCCGCTCAGTCACTCCGTTGGTCTGTGGGTGGG